ACTCCAAGAATCTTAGTGAAAATGGGGAATAAACTAGTGTTAGATCTGGTAGCTCATTAAACATGAGCTGACATCCTGCTTGCCAAATTTTTCTCCACATTTCAAGATACCCAAATAGAAGCCATTTCCTTCCCCCATATAACCTCCCCTGATAGAAGCTCTCTTCGATGACGATAAAAATACTGTTTATGATAAGAGGAAGATGTTTATCTGTAACATGCTTGCTTGGCTTTCCATTCCCTATTGACTTCCACTCAATCATCACACAAAGCTTTATCCTGTTCTCTTTTACATTTGGTAGTAAATGTAAGTGCATTTTATGTTCAGTACTTTTTCTAGAACAATCCACCCAGAATTAAATTTTTTGGGGGTATGTGGGGAGACAATGATCAACTCAGAGACATTTATCAGAATTCTAATATCATCAGGGATACAATGGAGCTCCCTTCAATACAGAGACAGAATTGTTACTACAACTGATCACCACTCCAGAAAAATTCACAAAATCCGAAAGTGAAATATTAATAAAACTCATCACTAGGAAGTAATTTACAACAGACAGATACAAACAATCTCTCTCACCCACAATGAAAAGTGCAATGGTTAGCAAACTCTAGGTAGTAAAACTCATTAGGCTTTCCAGCAGACATTATTCCACAATGCACAAACCAGAACTGCCTCAGACTCAGTCATGGAGAATACTGGAAGAGCCCAGAATACTTACTCTCCAGTTCTGATGGGTCTTAAATCAGCTCATAAGGCTGTCATACAGGCCTGAGAGCAAAATTAAGTTGTTCTTTTCTAGGTTCCACAATGTCTTTCCTGCGATAGGAATCCTTGACATGAAGCTCCCAATGCAGAACTGCACCCTCCTGCGGTTACTGGAGAAAATAAATTGAGCACAGATGACTGAAATTATTCTGATTCAATTATTTCACAAACACTTCAACTAACCATATTTATCAGCCTCCTAAACTCATAAATCACAGCAATCTCTGTTGGGAAATTCAAAATTGATGTGGCCCCACCTGAATCAGAGAAGGCAGTAGGCATCTGACAGCCTTGAGGAGCAGCCTCGTGTGAGCTGATTGGAATTTCTAGCAGTATTAATCTTAATAACCTCAGGTAGCTTCCTCCCTGCAGCCTATGTATTTTGCACAAGCAGTGAAGGAGGGAACAATCTAACAATTACTCCACTCATTCTTTCCTGCTGACTCTGTTTTCTGATTAATATGAACATGTCAGTCATACTCAGGCTTCATCCACAGCTCTTCTTAGTTTTCAGCAATGACCAGTCCAAAATCAGTAGAATTTAAATTGTGGTTTAAGCCCTGAGGTGCAGACAAGAGAAAGAAAATCTGAATACCTCCTGATAGAGCAGCATGAATGCTTAAAAATAAAAGCAGCTTTTCCCTCTGTTTAAAAAAAAATGTCTGTGAACTGCAGCAGAAAATTGTACAGGATTTCTGCAAGTTACTCCAACAATAGACTGAAAATATTCAAGCAGTATTAACAGTGAAAGCAGATGATTAAAACATAGATCAGAAATATGCATCCATCTAGGAAGCTGAATCCAAGCAACTGTCACTCACAACTGACAGGGTGGTCAGAACAGTTGTTGAAACTCTCTGATATTTGCTTTGCAAAGGATTAAACTGATCCCATTGTGATGAAGCTCTCATTTGCGCTTTTGCTAACAGATTTTCCTATAATAATATATCTACCAGATTTTTCCTCTTTTACCCAGATAAAATGAGATACAAAACAAAACAAAAAAAGCAATGGCATCAAAGTATCTATGGCTCCATCTACCTACCAGTTCCTATCAGCAGCCACGTACGCACCCAACAGTCTTCGTTAGTTTTAAACTGATGTGTTACATAGCCAACCTCCTAATGATAAAGAGGCATTTTTAATTTTAAGGAGATACTGTCCTGTTTGTGCTGTTATGTCTTTATTCTGAGGAGCATAATCCTTTTTTGGAAGCAGTTTCAGAGAGGAAGCTTCTGCTCAATATAACGCAGGTATATACCTGGACACAGCTGAATTTACTCAAGTGAGCATTTTATCTCATTAACTGCATATTGGAAAACAGACCTCCTTGTTCACAGTCTCCGTAAAGCCAAATTCCAAGTATTCTTTACTCACACTCCTCACTCCTCCTTGTGCACAAAATCAAGGGATTTTTTATTTTTTTTTTGCAAAAGCTCTTTTTCATGGTTAGTAATTAGGAAAATTAGGCTTTGTGTTATTCTTTTGTTTTTTTCTCCCTCTTCATATGTGTTCTAAGACAAGTTAATGAACCATCATATACTAAATTTAACCCATTCTGTTTAGAAAAAAATGGAAACTATAAAACTCAGTTGACTGTCTGCATTGTGATACACTGAACAGCTAATCTACAACTTTCCTGCATAGATGTGGCAACTTCATTTCTGATTATTTGTTACTGTTTTCAATTAGTGCTTATTAGAAAACTTGAAATAAAAACAAATTGAATTCTCACATTTTCACTAAGAATTTCTTCATTCAAACTTATTTTCCTCTCTCAACTCCCTGCACTACTGATCCAAATACCAATACCATTTCTGTAGTTTTTCAAGTCTCTCCCTTGCCTCAGTTGTCTGCAAATTTTTAGAAACTGGAAGAGGTTCAGAGAAATTGACTGCCAAGTCTATTATCATCCCAGGGTTCAGCTCATATAGACTTGCTTATGTGAATATTAGTATGCAGTATCTCTGAATTTTCCAATGTTTCCCATGTTCTCCTAAATCCATTCTCTGCTTAAAAGCTTTTCCATAGCTCCTCTTGCCAAAATTCTGAACTCTATGCAGAATCAAAATAAATGGACAATTTGCTGAAAAGGTACATCAGAGGTCCTCCCTGCTCAGCCCAGCTGCTTGGCAGCTGTTGCAGTAGCTCCAGGGCAACAGCAACTCACATATTTGCCATGCATCTCCACATGGGGAGCTTGGCTCCTGGATTCAGGAAGACTCATTCGTCTCTTTCTCCCCAAAGTTATCTTCTGTGCGGAGGCACTAAAACCCTTTATGAAGTTGTGGCTGCTGTAGCACTAAAACAGAAGGGATCACTATTTTCGCTAAAGCAGCTCAAAGCTCTTCTGCAGCAAGGTCAGTAAGGAAAGGAGGATATGCCTCAGATATTTTATTAATCACATCTAATTATCTTGAGTTGTTCTCACTAGGACTCTCCCTGTAAGTCATAAACAAGATACATTCTGCAGATATAGCTAGTGTGGCTCAAGACAAGCCAGCTTGAAATCATCTTGGTGACTGATGTGGAAATGGCACAAAATTGTAGTGAGGTGGTTCAGATTAAAGAAAATATATATATATACACACACACACACACACACATGTGTGTGTGTGTGTGTGTGTGTGAGTGAGAGAGTGGTCAAACACTTCCCAGAGGTTCCCCAGGCTTCCCATGGTTGATGACCCATGCCTGTCAGCGTTCAAGAGTCATTTGGATAATGTCCTCAATAATATCCTTTAACTTTTCATTAGCCATGATGTGGTCAGACAGTTGCACCAGATATCTTTGTGCATCCCCACTTCCAACTAATCTATTCCAGCCTCTTAAGAGTGCTATTTTCCCAGGCTGATTACCCTCATCTGATAACTGACTTGTAATGAAACTCAACTGTTCACACATGCACACAGTTGCATCCTAAAGAGAATCAGCTGGAAATCCTATCCCTTTAAAACCAAACAAAGATTAATCACTCATGGGTCACTTCGTTTCTTTATATTCAAACTTGTCAGCAACTACCCTCTATGAACCATCTCCAGTGACAGAACTATAATAGCTTAAATATAAGCCAGCAGTTTTCTAGCACTTAAATCATTTAAGGCAGAAAGACTAATACAGAAGATTTTAAGGAGCTTTTATAAAATAGCTAAAAACAAACAAACAAAAGTTCTTCACCCTTACTCCCATAACTTTCCCTTCGTTTATTGCCAATTTCATCTGTCCTTTCTATTTCTGTTTGCCAAACAGATCTTTCATTGAACTTGTCCTTTTCAATTCACTTTTCATCCTGTATTTGTCAGTCTTCCTTTTACCTTTTCTTCTCCTTTGTTTTTCCTCCTCCAAATCACTTCATGTCATTTTCTTTTCACTTCACTAGTTCCTCACTGACCAAAGTGGCAAGTGGAACGTGCAGGAGCAATGCACAAATTATTCTGGAGAGCATCCACAGCTTCACACTCAGCAGCTTTCCTTATAGGAAGGCTAGGCCTCCCCAGAGCGGATTTGCACTCTTCCTCGCTATTCCAGAAAGCAAGGATTTCTGCTGCTTTCTGCAGAACAGCTCTCATACCACAGGTTCCACTGCAGTATTAAGTGTCTTCTTTGCATCTCCCCCACAAAAAAAAACCCCAAAACCTTCAACATACTCTGTGAAAGCAAACAGCAACACCGTAGCATCTTGTATCCAAAACTTGTATCCAATACCGACATTTACAATCATCATTATTCTCTTTTCACTGTATCATTAATATCCCAGACACAACTAACACAGTGACACACCAAGTCAGACTACAGCCTTTAACAGCAAAGCCTTGACTACCTTAAACTGCAAGAATTTCAGTCTCAAATACTGCAAGAGGTTCCAGACTGTAAAATTTGGAAATTCCAAACAGAGACAGATACAGAGTCAATACTTCCTGCCGTCATATGGAAAATGCAAGGGTCAGCCAGCTTAATTCTTTCCAACTGTTCTCAGCTAATTTTAGCATTGAGCATAATACAGGGGATACTTCCACTCACCTTTGAGGAATGAAAAGGTAAGAGGTAAGAAGAATTGGCCTAGAACAAATGTCAAGTCTATCCATGCCATTCAATACATATTTTTCATTAATTTTAAAATTGACAAGCAGCTCATTAATTTCCTGGGCTTCAGTACAGGTCAGGATAATTTTAGCACTGACACCACAAGCAAAGTCCAGGTCAGTAGTGAAGGGTATTGCTTTGAATTCTTTTTTTTTTTTTTTTTTTTCTTTTTCCCCCAATCTGAAGTATCTTTTTTAGCTGAAGAGAACCAGATTGTTATTTCAAGATTTTTATTAAATAGTCAAGATCCATTTAGATCCTGCTCAAAATCCCCATAAGAATACTACTAATTCTTCTTCCTGTAATAATTCACATTAAAAACCAACTTCAAAAACATTTCTGTAATTCTATATCAGACTCAGCTGAACTGCTGACAAAGAAAAGATTTTCAGCACCAAATCTGAAATAAAACAAGTTTTCAGGTGGCAACATTGACAGTCTTACATTTTTAAGGAATACCACAATACAGTTTTTCAAAAATAAAACATACATATTCTGCAAAACAAAACAAAAAAGTCATTTAAGAGGTGACTGAAAACATAACTATGTGCTTACCATTCTCTCTTGAACACTGAAACAAGCCAGTGCTGGGAGGTCAGTGAGACCACAATTCGCATCTCAGAAGAAACGATGGACAGCGCTGTACAGAAATCAGTTTGCCTCCACAGTCTCCTTGCCAAGGAGCATTTCACAATGTAGACATTTTTCAGAATTAATACTGAGATTTTATAAGAACTTCACTTGAGATGTGAAGGATTCCTAATACTTCCTAAAACAGAACTTACATCCAAAGTAAAGAATTGTGAGAGAGAAAAACGGAATTCTATCAAAACCAGAGACAGAACCTTATAGAATACTATTTTTACTATTATTATTATTATTATTTTTTTTTCCCTTTACTGGCAAATAGCACACCTAGGAAAGCAAGTAAGGACCAGGCAAGCACAAAGGGATTCTTTACGAGTATTCTTGGTGGTGTCCAGCAATTCATGGTTCAGAAGTATTGAGTCTTTACTTTTAACAAACTTTAATGGATTCACCTTTCAAGTACTGGTCCACTTACTTTCAAGCCATGTAAACTTTAAGATTTGGTTGTCTGTTCAGAGGTTACTTTATTTTTTGCAGAGGAGTGGGGATGGGATGCAGTGGTAATGGAATGCCGAAGCTCAACTGCACGCACTGTGAAGACCAACCTCATTTTGTATACTTGGAGCCACCACCTGGAGACTCCATTTAATAATCTCTAGTTCTGCCATCAGAAAATAAATAAATAAATAAATAATCACAGTACAATCACTCCCCACTCATCCTCTCCTTCCACCACTTCTGACTTCAAAGAATTTTATCACTCCCTCTCAACCATCTGCCTCTCAGACTTTTTAGTTATCCTCATACATGCCATTCATCATTCCTGTCGCCCTTGTTTAAAAACTTTTCCAGTTCCACTGTATCAATTCTAAGACAGAAGACACCACAATTAGATGTATTAAGATGCATATACTCTATAGATTTATAAATATTACATAATGTACACAGTACTTTATTTTCTTCTTTGCTTGCTTTCTAAGAATTCCCCTTTAGTTCCTATTTTAATCTTCTTTAAGCTGATGTTTTTAAAGATCTTTTATAACCCTAAAATCTTACTGCCATAACAACAATAACTTGAGACCACCAATGCATATCAATAAAATCAAAGTTTCCTTCACATTTTCTGCATAGAATTCCATATATCATTTCATCATCCAGTCCCTCCATGATATTAAGATCCTCCATAGTTCTCCAGTCAGTCATCTGAATATCATTTAATGCAACTCCCCTGCAATGTACACGGACATCAACAGCTAGAACTAGTTGCTCAGAGCCTGGTCCAGATGAAATGAAAATGATTAGAACTTGATCCTTACTGCTCTCCTGATTCTTCTGTAACTCATTTCATTCAAATTTGACCTGCTACTTCTTCCCTTCAGTGTTCCCTGTCCCTTATTCCCTGTTGTGTGATATTACACACATTTGACAGAACTAAAAAGAAGGTATTTTTGTTATTATTTGCTTCTAGGTAGAGCTGTCACACATAAGCTCTCAATATTAAAGAAAATGCAACTACATCAAAATCTGTCCCAGATTTTATTACACATTATAATCAAACCAAATCCCACATATGGCTACATGATTTCCTGTCACTTTCCCACTACAAGCCATATACATTAACAGACAATAAAATTTCATTAGACCTTTATTCCTAATGTTAATGAGGTTTTGAAGAGCTCTGCTGTACACTAAAGAAAAACTACAGGGCTTCTTGTGTGGAAGAAAAAAGCATCAGGGTTTTTTGTCTGAAGACTGAAAGCTCCACAAAAACTGCAGCTCCTCCGAGGATTTTGATATTCAAACAACTGAAGCACTACTGAGTTGGAAAAGTAATTTTTCTTACAACATACAAGTGCATAGCTCATGCCTTATTACAGATTGAGACAATTTCAAACAGCACAAGTTTAAAACCTTAGCACAGAAATGTAGACCATCAGAATTTCCAATGAAGCATTCACTTCGGAGCAGACAAGCATCGCAGTAACACATAAACAAACAGTAATACAGATATAATTAAATTAACTCCCTCATATGAATTCTTTCAAACAAGTTTTTCAAAAAGCTAGGAACAGAATTCAACTTTGGACACTTTGGTTTGTAGCAGCCAGCAATACCCTCAGAGTGCTTTCCCACAGCAGCAGCTGAGCAAACACAATTGGGCACGTTTCAATCCAGGCAGTAGGTAAGGACAAGCAGAAACTAGGAGCAGGCCCCCCCTCAACTATCTTCAGCAGTTACTACAGCAACTCTGTTAGGAAGCACTGGCAGAGGCTGGAATTGGTCTGTCCATTGGTCTATGCCTTGGCATTTCTTCTTCAGAGTAGCCTTAGAGAATGCCACCACAACCAACACCATCACACATACCCAAGTTCTGAAGATGATAGGAAAGAACAGTGACATAAAGACAAAAGGGATAACTGCTGTTATGTTCAGCCTATGTATACAAAGAATAGGCAGCAGAATTTTCATCAAGTTGAGGGGGTGGGAATGTATCAGTATGTGCAGGAATATGTTACCACTCCTTGCATCTGCATTTCAAGTTCTCTGTGCATCCTCCTGCAGGGCAACATCTGTTCTCAGCATTTGCAGCAAGGCAGTCACTGATGCCTACGTCATACATTGCAAAAAGTATGATATAGCAAAGGACATTTTGTGCTTAGTTGGAAGTCTGCTACTTCATACTGCAGAATGGCACAGAGTCAAAAGGATAAGAATGAGATTACTTACAAACATCAAAAGGTTTTTCATGTTAACAATGTAGCTCCAGAGTCCCTCAACATATACTACAAAACAAGTAAGTTCTGCAAACATGGTATATTACATTACACAAGAATATAGGAGTTTTTGGTAAAGATGGATGTTTCTAACAATACATAGCACAAAAGTGCATTTAATCTGCAAATTACAGGGTGAGATTTTGATACTATTGTAAAGCTTAAATGAAAACTCAGCTTCGATGGTTTCATCCTCACGATTAACACTCCCCTTTTTAAGATACACAAAATAAGAAAAACTATTTACAATACTAGACTGACTTATAACAACCTTTCAGAACATTCCCAACTGCATTTACAGTAGTTGAAGAGTGAACCAGAACAGTCAGCAGAATGTGACCCTAAGAACAGAAGGCTGCTGATATAAGGAAGAAAGATAAAATATTACTCTTGTAAAAGACTAGATGACTTCCTCTACATGCACCTTGTTCCAGTTTTATATTAGCGTTAACTCCTCTCTAATCCACTGTGTCTGCCTAACGCTGAAGCAATAAATCAGTAGTATGGAAAGCACATAGCACCTCCAGAAATTTTGTAATTCCTACACTGAGTGGCTACAAACAAAGAAGAAAAAAAAGAAAAACAACAACTAGAATGGCCTTTTCTAAAATAGGCATCACACTTTCCAAGCTAAATATAAAAGACAAATTGAAAGCATCCATATAAGTACAAATTTTCTTAACAAAAATGTATTTATGTTTAATAAAAATGAAAGTAGATCCTGAAAAAAAAGTTAATACCTACCAATTGTGTACATCAAGACAACGATCCCATCATAATCCAAACAAATTATAATAGTATGTGATATTTAAGAGCTCTTGGAACCCTGTTAATAACAAGTCTCCCATCATAACTTAAAGAGGCAAATAGCCATGGGTCTGCTGAGGACCATTCAACTGCATACACACTATCTTCATGTTCTTCATAGGTAGCTATTACACTGTCCTGAAGGGGCTCTTTAACCCTAAAATTAAAAAAGAAAAAGAAAAGAAAAAAGAAGAAAGTAAGCATCCACCAACACTCTTGATTTAAAATGCAATGTTAAGTGTCACTAACATTTAGAGCACAAGTTCCTATTTAAAAGTGCAATACTGTGAGTTCAAGGAAGGGATGCACCTTCTACATCTAATATCTGCACATACACATATTTCAGGTAACACAGTCATGTGAATTATAAAGAACTCACTTGTAGGGATAAAACACATGCCACTCTCAACTTCAGTGCAGGTCTCAGTACCTACTCGAAGCATTTCAATCTCTTCCACCCTTCCTGTCATACTTCAGGCATTAAAAGACAAGTGTTATTTTTTCCCTTAATCAACAGCTTTTCTCTCATCATGGTCCACCTTCTTTGTTGCCAACTGAATTATTCAAAGCATATTATCTATTACACGAGAGCAGGTAGATAAGAAGTTTTGGTCCTTGACACTGTGATCTCTCCTATGCTGCAATCCTGGACCCATTCAGAATAACGGAAAGGATATAAAGGCACCCCTCCAAACATCACCATTTTTTCTTCTTCCCGTTCCTAGAGTTATAACACCAGAGGCACTAAAAATGCAAATTCTCATTTATTACCATATACTTCACCTCTCACTACCCAAGCTCCTAGTCATCTACATCATCACGAGAGAAAGACTCTCTTTTGCAGTGAAAATATTTGAAAACTGATTCAGGCTAGTCTTTAAATTTCAAACCATTTAAGAGTGAATGGCTGTGCCCTGCTAGTTGAGAGCAGTCCTTCTCTTCCCCAGACACAGAGCCACTCTCTTCTTTAAGGGCACCACAGTACATTGTTTTGTAGCTGCAGGGCAGGTGAGTTTGCAGAAAGACCTTACAGCTCCCTTCTTCCATAGAGAATCACTCCTGTCTGGTGGCCATCAGCATCCACCTGCCTCCCTGAAACAGATTTGTATCACAACCACAGTCCTCCCAACAGAAAGCAAAGGCAGAGGGCCTTGCAAACAGCAATCATTTAAACAGATACTGCTGCTGCAGAAATGAAGTGCTGATCACTCTCTGCCCTTTATCACTTCCCTCTGAAAATACGCATCCTTGCAATCACAAAGCACACACAGCATTATGTTTGAATTGCTTGCAGGATATCACTGGTCCACCTAGCCAGCTGTGAATCTAACATCGCAATTAAAATTCAATTGAATTTAATGAACAAACCAAATGCAGTCTGATACTACACAATAGCTTCAGATATTTAGTTCCAAGGTCTATTATCATTTACTTGTGCTATGTTTAAGGTCAACTAACAAAAAGGGTGCTGGCACAAACAACATACAGCCTCTGGCTAATTAAAAAGAGTAGATCTGTTCTGCAATTCTCCTGAATGCATACTTTACTACAAACCATCTAACAGCAGAGAGCTAATAAACACACATATGCAGGCACTTCATCTCCCACAATGCGTTTTTCTAACTTCCTGTTAACTGACATGCCTGGTTAACTGAAAGTTGGTCATGTCCCTAGACAGCAATGTGCCTCATGCAGTGCTCACCCACTTATCCAGAACTCCATTATTCTGAAGGTTTCAAATGTCTCTCTGGAAAAGCAGGGGAGTAATGCATGGTGAATAGTGCCGTCAGGGGACACGACCGACTTTCAGTTAACCAGGAATCTCAGTTAACCAAAGGTTGGATAAACAAAGGACAAATATGCCTCTAACTTGCACTAATTTCTTTATGTTCCCAAGTTGTCAATAGCGTTTCATTTAAACAATACAGTTCACCTAATTTAATTCACAGAATTCATAGTGGAATGAGTGCTTAAGAAAGAAATATGCAGTTTGGTATTGCCATTTATAGCTACAAAGATTAACTGATCTTCATTACTGTCTATACATTTACTTTCATACTCAAGAAGACCATTTCTTGTCTTCCCTTAAAAGAAAGTACGCTATCACATGTGTTGTTCAGGCCACACGTGATCATTTTTCTTTTACTGATGTTTAAGCAGGTAAGATTTTTTTTTTTAGTCTACTTATGCACATGACTGGCATAGCTTTGAAAAGTTGTCAAGAATCTGAGAAAATCCTTATGAAAGTGACCAGTTGATGTGAAGGAGCTAGATACTATTGAAGATAATTAGATAGAAGAAATAATCTTAATAACACTTATCTCAGGAACAATGCAGAAAATCTGAAAGAACCTGTCTGGAGGCATTCTTTACAAACACTATGAGAGAAAACAGACACGCCATTCAATTTTGTGATGGGCAATACACCCAAAAGATTTCTGCAGAGGGGAGTAAAGAACAGAATTTATTCTGTGCCTGTGAAAGATTGCCCAAAATAATTAAAAAAAACAAACAGAAAGGAAGAGGTAGTTTGCGTTTGGTTTTCTTTTTCTCATCTCCTCAAGATGGATCACATAATCCCATGCTGAGTCTTTCAAAAAAAAAAAAAAAAACTCAGATTCATTTGCATTTTAGCAGTGTGAGCACTTTTCTGGTAATCCAAGACTAGGCCGAGGATACCGGTTTTGATTCTACATGAATCGAGGATACTTAAAAGTTATTCTGTTTCCAAGTCCCGGGGCTAAAACTATTTACTCTTGATGAATTTTTGTACAGCTTTTGCATATTTTTAAGTCTGTTAAAGAATGAACTCAGACTCCTAATCCCTCAGATACTAAACAATTTGGTTAATGCAAGAAGGTATGCACTTAACAGCTCATGACACTGACATTTATTTAACCAAGGCAACAAATACTTAAAAAGAAGAACAAAAGCGTACGTATAAAAAGATTATATAGGAAAAGATGCTGGTGACAGCAAATACTAGTGGAACACACAAAAAATAGCTCAGATTTTATTGTTGCAAACCATTTTCCTACATAGATGATTTAATTATTTATGTGGGCTCTGTTTGGCTTTTTTTTTTTTTTACCAGCTGCTAAAATTTTATTCATAGAATCATAGAATCATTTGAGTTGGAAGATACCCATAATAATTACCTAGTCCAATTCCTCTGCAACAAATAGGAGGATGTATAGCTAGATCAGGTTGTTCAGAGCCCTGTCAAGCCTGACCTTTTAACATCTCCAAGGATGGGGCATCCAACACCTCCCTAGGCAACCTGTTCCAATGTTAATCATAAAAAACTTCCTTATATCTATCTAATCTAGATCTCTCCTCTTTCAGTTTGAAACCATTTCCCTTTGTCCTATCAAAGAACACCCTGCTAAAGAGTCTGTCTCCTCATTTCTCATAGCCCCCTTTAGATACTGAAAGGCTGCTCAGGTTTCTCCATAGCCTCCTCTTCCTCCAGGCTGAACATCCCCAGCTCTCTCAGCCTGTCCTCTCAGGAGAAATATTCCATCCCTTGGATCACTCCCATGGCTCTCCTCTGGACATGCTCCAACAGGTCTGTGTCTCTTCTGCATTGAAGAATCCACATCTGGATGCAGCACTACAGGTGAAGCCTCACCAGCACAGAGCAGAGAGACAAGATCACCTCCCTCGCTCCTGCTCTGCTGGCCACACTTTTTGTGACACAGCCCAGGATACGGTTGGATTTCTGGGCTGCAAACGCACACTACAGACTCATTTCCAGCTTGACATCCACCAGAACCCAAGGTCCTTTTTGGCACAGCTGTGCTCAATGCTTTCATCCCCCTTGTATTGATAATGGAAGCCTCCAAGACCCAGGTGCAAGACCTTGCACTTGGATTTGTTAAATCTCATGACGTTCTCCTGGGCCCACAGCTGGGACCTCTTTAACATTCAGCACTTACAGAGACTAACATCATAGATCTAATGAATGTATTTTTTAATACTCTATACATAACAATAATTAAAAACATTATTATTACACATAGTTTTATCTGACAAACCATCCATTCCATAAATAACAGCTCTCAATGAGGTAAAGGTACAGATTGCTCTGACTATTGATTCCTAGACAGAGAACTCTGACAAACTTTATTTGATGAGCACCCTTACTAATCACTTGTTAAGCCTGGCAAGCTTGGTGAACTATTTTCTTCCTTACTCTAAAATCTTTCCGGCCATTGAAAAGCTCCCCAAGTTTCTTGTGCTATTTCAAAGATTTAAGTACCTTTTTCTCTTCTTGTATTTGTTCTTGCCTGCATCAACTGACAAGGCATCAAGCTTTTATGTCATCAAGCACTTATATTAAGCAATGTGTAATCTATACCTACATCCTGCATAAATTTATGACCTGTGCCAGGCAGCACTGAAACCAGACTGATTTTTCTTTGTAGCCTTATTCACATAGCACCACCCCTACCATCCTCATCTACAAAAGGAGAAGAGTTTTCATTTTACTATATAACACAGAGGTTAATTGCACCACTGACTTGAGAGAGAAGCCTGTTAAGCCTTGGATAATTGTTTTCATGTAGAGAGCTGTTATTTCCAATTACTGCTCATGCTAACAACCACTTAAGTTTGCAGAGCTAGAGATTCTGTTTTGTCATCATAATGTTTAATAAAGTGTTTTTCAGAGTCACCAAAAACCGTTAATTCCTTATCACAGTCAAAGTTAAATCCCCCTTAATATAAAAGTTACTTGAAACAGATGTGATTCAACAGAGCAGTAAACTGTAGAGAGTCCAAAATGCATCCAGAAGAGTAAATGCACTGGACTCTGAAACAAGCCCAGTGGATGCCCTTTGCCTTTAACTGCAGGGCAGAACTTTACAACTGTAAGAGTTTGCTTCAGATAAGCTCAGATGGCACACTATTTCCTAGCCCTCTGTTCAGTAATACAGAATTCAGAGATTTTTCTACTGGACCACAATTTCTATGTATATTAGCTAGCCATTCATTTTATTAGAAATAGTTTTCTCACACAAGAAACAGCCTTCTGAACTGCTTCTACACAACAATTTCATCTTTAAAAGAAGGAAATGCTTTTTTTTAAAAAATATCAAATTTCATATTTGTCCTACAACACCAAATGAATTTATCAGCAGATATACTCTAGTTAAAGAAAGAAATAGCAGGGGAAAACTATACCTGGAAATTGCACTGCACCAGATTTGGCCCAGCTTCTTTACACAGCCTACCAAGTGAAGCATCTAACACCTGGTATTCCCCAGTACCTATTAGAGTACCTATTTTTGACAGATGCTGAAGGTTTTCCTTATTCAGCACAAAGACGCAACACAGTTGGCATGCTCATCCTAGATGCATTTCACAAAGGCAGTGTATGCACTGCATGTTTTGGAACAATCAAAAGCACAGCCCGTGAGAAGAGAAACTCATGAATATGGCTAAAGGTAAAAGAAAACTCTAGCGGGAAAAATCACAAGACTCCAAAGATGATTCAGAAAGCAGAAATGGTCCCTTAAGCTGCTAACATTCTAGGACTGAAAGCATACTTAGGGGAAATATCATGGTTTCCTGTTTTTATAACATTTCCTTTTGGCCGCTATGATACAGGCTAGGGAGACCTTTGATATGATGCAAGAAGGCTGTTCTTCCATTTGTATGATTGGGAGTAACAACAGTAGCAGTGAAAAAAGCAATAAAGGAACAGCAAACTAGTCTCTCTGATCTGTATCAGCAGTTGAGATTAAATGAAGGTCACTCAGTCATGACAAGAGAAAAATCCTCATGTAAGGTCCTAGTTACACTGCTTGTGAAAGGGTGTTCTGGTCTCCAAGATGAGACACAGGGTGGACATATAAACTCTCAACATGCTGGCATGTATGTGGACAAGTACAACACAAAAGTGAAATTTCAAAGACAAATTTCTTATTAGGAATAGAAGATAGCAACTTGTGTGCTACCTATTCATTATTGAATAAACATTTTCTTAAAAAGCAGGTACTTAATGCAGAAGAGTTAAATAAATGACTCATAATTCTAGGCCATTGCACAATGCAAGGTTAAACTAACATGTTACTTGCTTTTGTCTTCAGAAGAGAAATACATTAAAACAAAATTTACCCAAAATATTTTAATACATTAAAAAATAACTCGAGTCTTAAGAATCTCAAACATCTCAGTTGTTTAGAATATTATTATGAGTCAGTAGTTTTAAATATATAGACTTTTGCTAGGTAAAGAAAAAGCCCTTTTAAGTCTGAATTGGTATATACTCTTCATTTTTATATTTAACCTAAGGAGTTAAGTATTTTCTTATACCAATTATTACAAGTTATTTCAGTCATATATTAAAAAAATATAGATAGCTTATGAGGAAACAGCTTTCTTCTTCCTCTTGAAAGAAGGCTGAAATATCAAGCATAGACTAGGTTGCTCAGTCTGAAGATGACTGTCTGGAGACACCAGCTTTACAGATACTTCCTCTTCCTGGTATATTTCAAGATGCACTTAAAAAGTGAATTTGTATTTCAGGATTTCTGTGCTACTTAATGAACCACGTCCTCCTAACGAGGTAAAATGAACCCTGTTAGGATACAGCAACTTCCTGAAAATCTAGAAAGTATCCAACCCAAAAGAAGACTGATTCTAAAGACATCTTGTATGTTTAAAATTAACCACTCCAATATATGAGATAGCTTCCTTATTTAATCAAAAGAAAATAAAAACAAAAAAGGAGAGTTCCAAAACCATCATGTGACACCAAAGTGTCAAAACTAGTTGGAGCAAAACTACATCTTATTATGAAATGGGCCAGAGCAATCTTGAAAGTGCAAGTACAGAAGTAACCTAAAGATTATTTAAACGTTCAAGTGAAAAACCTAACAAACATGAATGAGTAAAAGAGGGATTTTCTTATCATTTCCTTATTCTTCAACTCATCTTACCATTCTTCATGAAAAATGAAAAAACATTTCATGATGTAATGCGCCTGTATCACTGCAGACAGTTCTACATATTAAAATAAATTAATCAACTTAAAACGATTGCTCTATGTATTCATGAAAAACACAGAATAAAAAAAGTACAGACTAGTTTGTTGGCTTCAAAATATTTTACATGAGTTTCCATATTATTATCCTAATTTTGCAAAGAAAGAATCTGCTGAAGATCATCATGTAAACTAGTTGCAAAATTTGAAAGCCTTAAGCCATGCTAGCTCTACAGAGCTATGTATATTCATATAGAAGAGGAAAACAAATATCATATTTCACAAATGAAATAAATCTTCCCTCCAAAACACATGTGCACAATACATAACACACATATAACTGCATGCTTTATTCTCTACCAAGATAACTGAAACCAAACTTCTGTTTTGCTTGGAACAGTTCTCTCTCGCACTCTCATACACTCTCTTCCAAAACAAACAAGCAAACAAACAATAACAAAGCAGTCTTTTAACCCAGATTACTGTGTGTGCATAACTTGACCCAGAGCTCCGTTAAAGTGATCTTTTCACTCATCCAGCTGACTTTAGGACTAGTTCAGCATCACCATCCCCTTTTCTACCAGTGCAAATACAGTGATAGTGCTGATTTGATAAAAAGAATAGATTCCACCCATGACTGTGAGTAAAGAAGTATTCATTAGAACTACTTACCTGAAAGGTCTGTATACAAAAATCCTAGTCAGCAAAGAATAGCACGTTAACCATTTTAACAAAAAGACAAACTATAAGCATATGCGTAAGACCTAGGAAACTTCATACTTCTCTTCTTGATGCTGTTCCTCTTGGTCACTCAGTTCATCATCATCTACCATATGTCCAAATGGTTCAGAAGAAATTGATACCATATTAGAAAGAATAACTCTGCTATCACTGCTTCCCGTAAGGATCAGCTGATCATGAGAATGATTGTATCTGACATTCCAGACCCTAAGAAGATAAATCAGAAAGAACAAGAGGCCATGTTTGGCAGGTTGTGAGTGCATCAATGTTGTTTAAAAAGATTTCCATTTTAAAAAGAGGATTAAAAATTCATCTTTGATTTGAACGTGCTAAGTACAAACAAGTGAAATACTAAAACAAGTGAAATACTAAAAGACATTAAAATGTATTTTATGTATTTTATATAAGACATTATAGTATTTTATGTTTTCATTTGGCTTTTAAGCTTCTTTATCATTTGTTTTCTTTGGAGTACCTTCAAAATCCAAGAACTAAATTTTAAGGAAAAAAATCCCAAAAACACACCATTCAGTGATAACCGTTCCCTGAGGGTATGTGCAAGGCTATATCAGAAAAATAGGTTCTAAAAATATAAAATCAAGCAAAATACTGATCAGAAATTACCCATTAGACAAAAAACTCAAACATTTTCACAATAAATTTTAAAATAGACTTTAAAAGAAAAGGCTTATATTCATCTTCAATTTTGATACTTTATATAATAAATTAATGCTAGATGTTTTATAGTTCTTGTTTCATTATTTTCCTTTCAATTGTCTAGGAAAAAAACAGCACATAAGTACTCCTCCTGTTAATTCTCATCTTCATTCCCCTCAAAGTAGCTTCAGGGTTCAGATCTATTTGGCAAGAGTTACTCTAACTCATATTTCATAGATACGAACCTGTTCATCTACTCTCTCTTGGCTCCAATGACAGGCCAAAGGGTATACAGAATATATGTAATATACACAATATATAAGTTGAGAAAAAAATGACCGACTTGCTCTGGCTTACAGGATGCCAAGAGTGTGAAAAAAGTGAGGCTGACTTATCTACTACTCCACACTGGAAGGACAGATGGCAGCTGCTGCAACCAAAACAGCTCAGGTGCTTTTCCGCATGTCAGGTGCAGCAGATCACAGGGCAGACACAGCTGCATCTTGTCTGGACCCCACAAGCCAACTTCTGTGCTGTGCTTCTCAAAAAGTATACCCAATCCCCCCAGCACTAACAGCAGCTTCTTCCCAATTAGACAATAAGATTGCCTAAACTTGTTATTTACAATCACACAAGTAACATCTATGTGCAGAAAAATGTTATCCAGAGTAGCAGAAACATAGCTTGCATTGTTCCTAGACTGTAAAATAATTAGCTGAATAAATTATGTAAGCTATCCACCCACAACACAGCATGCAGATAATTTGTTCTACCAGTGGGAATGCTCCTCTAGTGTCTTCACTGGTTCAGTGACATTTCTTGTGTCCCAGAATTTCACCTTGCAGTCATCTCCACAGCTAGCCAGGTAGTACTGTTTATTGGGATTAAAGTCAAGGTCTCGTACCAGCTGTCCATGTGCATTTTCTATGGAATATATCTGCCTGTAAAAGACATTTAAAAAAAATTAAATGGTCTATAAAAAGCTAACTGTATTCCACTGACAAGAATCTGTTTCCCTGGAAACTTGCATAATGCCCTTAACACCCGCAGACCTCAAGTTCTCACTGCTAGTACACAGTCTGGGGAAACCCCAGCTGTTAACTGCAGAGACTTGTGTAGATTTCTCAGCATGCTTTGAAGTTTCCCTTTTTTCTTATTTGTACTGAGATCTTCTGGAGCTAAAAATAAATATTAGATCCAGATGATTCTAGCATAGCACTGTAGCAACCATAAGAAATATCTGTTACTAACCCACAATATGTTCACATTACACCTTCTCCACCCCCAAGTTGTTTCTATACCATTTCTATATTTATTGTGTCTAGCTCTTAGAATCACACTATCATCTATGTTAGAAAAGACCTTCAAGATCATCAAGTCCAACCATCAACCTGATCCTATCAAGTCCTATCACTGAACCAACTTCCCCTACTACCACATCCACGTGCCTTTTAAATACCTCCAGGGATGGGGACTCCAACACTTCAATAGGCAGCTCACTCCAATGCTTCACCACTCTTTTTGTGAAGAAATACTTCGAAATATCCAACACAAACCTCAGCTGCTGTAAGAGATGGTTTTCTCAAATCTCATTACCTACCTCCTGAGTAAAGAAATAATACCCTTTCCACTGCAGCCTCCTCTAAAGTAGTTGCAGAGAATGATGAGATCTCCCCTCAGCCTCCACTTCTCCATGACTAAACCACCTCAACTCCCTAAGTCAGTCCTCACAGGTCTTGTTTTCTAGACCCTTCACCAGCTTTGGTGCTCTTTTCTACACATGCTTGAGCAATTCAATATCCTTCTTGTGGTGACAAGCCCAAAACTGAACACAGTACTTCAAGTGTAGTCTCATCAGTGCTGCATGTAAGGGGCAGTCTGCTCCCTAATGCAGCTCAACACATGATTTCTGACACAGGCCAGGACGACACTGGCCTTTTTGGCCACCTGGGTACAATGCTGGCTCATGTTCAGCCAGCTGTCAACCAGTATCCCCAGGTCATTTTCTGCTGGGCAGCTTTCTGTCTCTCTTCCACAAGTCTGTACCACTGCATGGAGTTGCTATGAATCAAATGAAGAACTTGGCATCAGCTCTGTTGAATGTCTTGAATATCATGCAACTGGACTTGGCCCATCGATCCAGCCTATCCAGATCCCTCTGCAAAGCTTTCCCACCCTCAAGAAGATCCATAAGAAGCAACTCAAAGTATATTACATATAGTAATCCTTCTCCCAACAGCTGCTGCAGTCACCTGGGATAAATGATATCATCCAGATAACCAACTTCAAAACTCTGCTCAAATTTTGAGAGATCAACAATATTGCTCAGGTATGTCTTTCTACCAGCTACTCTGGCATCAGAATTTTACACTTCCTCTTCATTTCCTAAAACATCTGTATGAGATTTTTTTTTCAAATATAAAATACTTTCCCCTTCATTATTAACACTTTTTTTTAAAAAAAAATTTTGTTCTTGACTGCACTGCTCATGGCAATGTGTGAAGTTTTAAAAAGAAATTCCATTCTCTGCCTACCCTGCATTCAGTTGTGCTTACCATGAAAGCCTTTATGCTAACTGAACTGTTAGTTTGACCACTTGATCAATCCCTTTCCTTCCAAATCCAAATATTCTTTTTCACTCCATCTTCTTACCTACAGCAATATAGCACGTATTCAATTTCCCACTTACACCATAAATTAGTAGGATGGCCACACAAACATTTTCTCCAACTAGTTATGCTCTCTTCTCATATTCTTACACTTTTTTTTTTTTTTAGAAATTATTTATGGACTCCGAATTTCCCTGATATAATTCTCTCTACAAATTCATTCAACCTAGTTGTTATTCCCCTCTGCTTCATGATGTTTTGCCTGGTTAAGTTTCCTAATGATCAACTGCTTCGTAGTCTAGTCCAACAGTTTTCTTGCCAACCTTTTGTTTTTTCCTTTACTTCTTTGCTACATTCAATGCTATTTACTCTCACCTACAGTTATCTTAACTGTACTCTTACAGAAGTAGCTATTCAAGATGCTTTAGAATCTCCTTTCCCGTCTTTGCTGGTATAGCAGTTTTCTGACCTTGATTTCTTTTGTCTGTTTTATACTGCCATGGTTTATATATCTCCGGCTTTAAACTCCAACTTCTAGCCAAGCTAGTACTCATCAAATATTCACATAATTCTAGTCATATTACAGTGTGATTGAAGATGAGATAATCCTGCATGTTTTTTTCAAGCACACTGCAAAAAGCTCTTTGACACAGCCTAGTTCTCTTGAATTTGTTCAAGGGCAGTGAAATATGACCTTCAGTTAAAGCAACTAGAATTCCAGGGTTTGCTTTTGTTAACCAAACTACCCTTTCTTTGCAGATCTTGGTAATGTCTGGACTATCTTTGCTACAAGTCACTCAGAGAAGTCATTTAAAACAAGATAGAGATGTTATTCTCTAACAAGACAGAACATGAATCAGACTTCACAACATTTAATACTATCTAATTAGAAATACAGGGTTTAATCTTAGGGTCCTGCATGCTCCATGTTACAAACAAATGAACAACCTCACCTTTCTCCTTAGATCCTACCTCTTCATAAATGAGAACACACACATATGTATCAAGTTATACCGTTATACCTTTTTGCAGGACGAAGAACAGAACTTTAAAATACAAGAACAGGCATTCAAAAATTTAATCATTATATTTGTATTTTTAACTTTTGTTTATTAAATTAAACAAATCTGTAAGGCAGAAACATACAAAGCTGGCAAATATAGGGATTTATTGCAACACCCCTGAGCTGGCAGGAATCAGAACTAAATTTAAAGTCATCCCACTGTAAGGCAACAAAAGTTATTAGAAGACATCAGTCTTCTCAGTTTAGTGATAAATTACTATGTGCTAAGGGACAAAGTGTATCTTAAAAAAAACTTTGCAGAGACTTCAGTTGTCATGACAACAAATGTGCGCAACATCACTCCTTTACTTATCAAAATCACAACCAAATAGGAAAGAAAACACAGGTAGATTCAAAGCATTAATTGATATTGACATGATTTTGATAGATTCTGTAGTTTCATGTGACTGGTGTGCTACAGTCTTCAATACAGTATAGTACATTATAGTTAAAATCAGAAAAATGAAGAGTGAAATCACTCTGTGAAATACCTTCAGGGATTAAAGTTAGCTTTACATAGTATGCTATGAAGACAACTCACAGCATACTCAGGACTGATGTTGCATCCTGGTTTTCAGGTTGATATACAGAACTCTTCATTCAGGTAATGCCTATGCACTGAACAAACAATCTCCAGACTAGTACGTAGTTTAGTAAAATACAATATCCAAGTCAGAATTGGAACTGAGGGGAAAAACTGAAAACCCTTTACTGAACTGTGAATACACCAGCTATGCAATCCGAAACATTCCATCTACAATTAATAGCTTTTTTAAAAAAAACGTTAGGAGCAACAAAAAAATCCACCTCCTAATGAAATTTTTTTTTTGTCTCTATTGCTCTTTACCTCATGCTTCGTGTATCCCATCCCCGAACAGTGGTATCATTGGCTGTTGCAATCTGTGTACAATTGTGGTGTGGACTCCATCGTCCTGAAGTAAATCTTAATTGTCCTTTCCCTTCTAAGGCTGCAGAACTAGAGAGCTAACACAAAAAACAGAAATTAGCAATGTTTCTAAATTTAAAGTGAAATTAGTTCCACTAAGGATAGAACAATGAACAACAGCCTAACATTTCAGGCATAGCAGAATTTCAAAATCTCAGTATAAAAGTGGAGAAAACTAGGAAGATAGAATTGATTTTGTATCTTAAAGTAATTTTTACAAAGGCTTACACATTGCAATGTCTTAAGTAGTACTATGCTTCTTGATAACCTAAACTAAACAGTTTTATATCTGTACATGTTGAAACTTTGTACAGACAATATGGACATACTGCAGTCATTTGTAGCTGTCTTAAATTGGCAAATGAGTGTATGCTTTCAGTTATCAGCTATAAGAGACTCATGAAATGTGTTTTTCCATGTCAAATTGCCACATTTTATCTGTAAGAAAAGAATTAGCATCAAAAGCTCTTGAATAAATGTACAGCAGCATTAAAACAAAAATCAAGGCACATGTACTCATGTCATAATAGAAGCCAGTAGATCACAAATCTGCAATCTGTAAGAGTTAAAAGGTTTCAGCTGCAAAACAAGGCTTGCATACCATGAACAGACATCTGCACATCTTCATACAGTTAATAAAAGAAGGTATAAAATAATCAACTTCATCTTGAAGTTATAAAGAAAATTGTCATCCTTCTAACTTCATGTGAACATGGGGAAAAACCCAATATGCAGTCACTGCAAATTAGCTGCATTTCTAGTAATGTACAGAAGCTGGAGGGGGGAGGGGGAGTTAGAAAAGCAGAATAACTACATTTTAATCTGATTAAAACTTACACAAATTTAAAGTGCCTGAGCAGACAACAGATATATTTGGTCATATTGTATGTGATATTCATATTTACAAGTGTTCCACTGCAAGGCATTCCATGCAAGCAGATTAAAGCACTGGATTCTTGTTGGATCTCCACCCAGGTACTAACACAGAATACATACTTTTTTTTTTTTTTTTTTTTTAACGTTCAGGCAACAGAAAACATGGAGAGCTAAGGACAGAGAAGAAATGAGAGGAACTTTCACACATAAATGATCCTTGTGTAACAGAAGGAAGCCAGCAAGAATCCTTCTGTAAAATCCCAAATGAGCATGAACATAACCCATCCCACTTCTTTAAAGGCAGAAAAGTTGACTATGTAACTATCTGAAGTAAGGGAAAACATGACAAAGGCATATTTTAGGCACCACCAATCTCACATGATTTATTCTGCCTAGTAGAAGACAGCATACTGCTTCATTGCAGTATTTTAAAAACACAGATAAGTGATTTATGAAGTGATTAAGACTGCTGTCCATTTTCAGACAACAGAATTAGCTCAAGGAAAATACATAAGACTTTGGAAAAAATTCTGGACAAAAAAAATCTAGAAGAATGTAAAATGGTTATCAGTATATAGTTGGATTCAACAACGTTCTTAAGTGCTTAAGTGTATCAGTGAGTAAAGGCACTAATGGCTGTAAAAGGGAAGTATGATAAAATATTAGAATTACAGAAGAACAATGACTTGAAATAAAAAAGAATAGATTCAAAAAAAAAAAAAAAAAGAATAGTTAAGCAATGCCATATGATCAGAACAGAACTGCATATTTTTATCCTCAGTGAATGAAATATTTTTACAAAAGAAATAAATCTGAAAGAAGCCTGTCCTAGCCTTGAAGAAATGATTTCAGTGAACTCTAATGAAACTCCCAGTTACAGTACTTTATTGAAACATTAGTAAGGACTAAGACACCATCTTCTACTTTGAATTCTGATCTCATAAGGACTGATCTGGACACAGAAAAGGATAGTTCATTTAAAAATAAAAATCATTAACCTCTAGGCAGGTACAGAAACTATCCAGAAAAAAAATCAGTAAGAGCATGAGTGCAACAGACTAACTGCTCATTCACTCTTCCAGAACAAGAGGCATCAAATGAGACAAATCCATACCAACCTTACTAGTTACATACCTGAATATCAGACAAAACAGTTTTCAAAAAAAAAATATTGAGTTAATCAATTTGAATGGACATTGTTGTTTAGAACTGAGAACTCAAAGCAGTGCAAAGTAAGCGTGGGAATTTAAGTGACATCTACATCCAAGGGTTTTAAGTTAAATATAAAACAGAGGACTGTGAGATATTGACATTAGTTAATCTATTATCATCTGAATTAGAAAATCCTTGAATTTATTATCATCAGCATTCCCCGATACATGTTTATCAGATCAGCACTGCTTTACCTCAGAAGCAGAATGAAAGGGCAACTCTAGTAAAAAGGAAATAATTAACCATTAGCAACGGATAAAAATACTCAGTTACCTCTCCTCTTAAAAACTATCAAGTCAATTGACACTGCATTCATTTCCCCCAACACCACTGAAGACAAGATACTTTTGAAGTCATCAGGGAACAAGTAGTTAAAAGAGCAAATTTGGGGTTGGCGAGTTCTGTTCATGCTACATTCAACTATATTATCGTTTCTTAAAAAAATAAAATTCTTACCACAGCTTTGGCTGAACTTTCCTGCAAATCCCACAGTAATATGTTGTTATCAGCCAGAGAAATTATCTTTTTACCATCTCCCATTGGCTCCCACATAACACTGTAAAACAAAATAATAATAAAGTAATAAAATTTAAAAAAAAAACAAACAAATCAAGCATTAGAACCAATTGAAATCTGAACTGGAAAGACATTTTAATTTTGTGGATCCAATCATATTCGACACCTAAATGATTTTAACAACTGTTTCCTTCAGCTGAAACTGGCTCATACTTTAACTGCAAAACCTGCAACTTTTACACATCATAGATGTACACTATTGCAGTGTCATTTACTTAACCTGCATGATACAAAATAAGGTTTGATTATGGAATTTTTGTCAGCTCTCGCATATGCATCCTTCCCTTTTTCTCTTGAGAGACCTTTGATCAAAATTTGTCTGGAAAAGGAACGTCATGTCATCCAGCTTCCTTAGATGCTAGCCTACCTGTAAGGGTTTTTTGAAATCCATACTTCACTTGCTATCTGTCCCACATACTGATTCATGAAAAATGATTTTGTCATTGTAACACAATGTAACACAAATCACACTGCATACGCAGAGAACAAAACAAAGGGTTTGACATGCACTTAATACAAGTAATTTAGCTCAAAACCATGAAGTGCATCAAAGATCCCAAACCATAGAGCTCTGATGCAAACCTCTCGCACTTTGAGGCTGTCACCACAGTTCTAACACACATTTTACATGCGATTCTCCACCTCTGTGCTATACATGAAGGAACGGAAGAAATCATTAGTCCTCTATTTCTAGCTACGAGAAGCAGCACGCTCTGCCAGTGAGTATAGGAAGTACAGCTAAGTACATACACAAAAACCCTAACATTTTGCTGGAGATAACAGAAAGGTCAAAAGGATAATACTTGTCATTTGATGAGAACAGGCTTCTTTACTCAATAATTCTAAAAGTTGAGCAAAAGACAGAAATTGCAACTGATATCAAGTAGAGAATATCACGGAGAAACTTTCTCCAATCTCCAAATAACTTAAGGCTTTGGTCTAACAGTGTTTGACATGCTGTTCTCATCTTCAGGGCACACATGAAGAAAAATTCCTGATGAACTTCAAGAGATCATTAGAATATCACTAGACATAAATTTTCTCGTCTAACTTCTTGCATGAATCAGGCCAGACTTTGGATTGAAAAGATGGAACAGGATTACATGAGTAGATGCACTCCTGGATAAGCAGGTGACGAGGCAGCCACTGGCTACATTTCTAGCTTGGCACTTAATACAGGAGCATTCTTAGTGTAATCTCCAAACCTGTATCACTTCTATGTTCCTAAGACCCAGATGGCCCCAGATCCAACCCATGGGACTCCATCCAAGCTTAACATACAAAATAATAGCAAAGGGAATAGCAAAGAATAAGAAATGGAAAGAAGTGATACACAACCTCAGTCACAACCTCAGCTATGATTTTCCACTCAAAATTCTCTTTGTTTCTTCCACAAACAGTTTCATTACTTCTAATGCAGTATTTTTAGTGAAACAAGTATTTGGATTTACAGACAGATGAATGAAACAATAAAAAGAAGCCAGACTGAGAAGACAGAACCACGCAAAAAAAAAGACAGTTTTGGGATTATTAATTTTAAAAGACATTGGAATCATCATTTTGAATGAATAGCTAAGAAATTTTAAAGATTCTAGTAATTATTATTTTTAGTTATACCTTCTCTTCCCCGCCTTCCCCCCCATTTCTCTTGTATATTGCTGGAAATATTAGTATTTGGTGTCATTATACGTAGATATTCTTTCAATTAAACACAATAAAATTAGATTTCACTAATTAACTCTTAAAGAATTCTTCTAGCCAGAGATCAATATTCTTGATACCTGTTGACATATTTGCTTCTTTCCTACACTGACCACTCAGTCTTCAATTATAAAAGCTATAGTGAAAGCAGTTTCTTTGATGTTTTCAAAGGTGGGAAGAAATTTCACATCTCTGAGTGTCAAGGAGCTTCAAGGTAAAGAATTTTTATAGTTGAACAGTGTGCTAATTAGAGCCAATTATAATCCAGCTGACATTCCTTAGAATGAAAAGGTCTCTGCACAAACACTGTCCTTGTGAGATGCCCATTTCACTCCTATTTAATTTATCAGTTATGAAAGTTCATTGTTTTAAGAGTGTGGTTGCAGTGATCATTCACATTTTATAATTTAAGTGATTATTCAAATGACTCTTCATAACATGTTCAGATATACTAAGCATTAATGGACTGCATGTTAAAACATGAAATAACAGGGGAAAAAAAATACTCTGAAAAAACCAACTTACCCTCAAAACAACATATACATTCTAGATTTTTTTTTTTTTTTTTTAATTTTTTGACACAGCAGAAGTAATGATAATCTTTAAAAAAAAGAAAAGAGATAAACCGGGCAATACCATTTTCCTGAACGTGATAACAGCTGCTGATGCTTACAGTTTTCAGAAATGGACAAGATGCTTGTAAAAATCATAGCTGCCACTCAGAAATTGAGTGCCAACTTCACCACTACTCTTTAGAGACTCTATAAGCAGCATAAAAGGAATTGTGTGTTTTCTTTTACCTCGTTTAGTTATCATCTAATGCCGGACGCTTCAAATTAGCTTTTAGCTAGTAGTTTTTGGCTTAAATAAATTTAAAAATTAAATTCTGTAGAGAACACTTTCCTAATGATGAAGAAAGAATTTAAAATATTCACTCAAATGTACAAATAAAACAGACAATGCAGTCTTCTTATCCTAAAAAGATAGTTAACACCATCTTTTATTAACTCAACGAGCTTTTACAAATGAAGAACTCAAAGTTATCCACTATAGCCTAATGAAAAATAAAGCAACATGTGTACATTTTTGTCAGTGTGAACTGAAGTCAGCCATAATATCTTGGAGGAAGAAAGCTTTCACTGTTGCTTAAATGTAGTTATAGAAGCGACAGCTATTTGTTTTTATAAAGTAGAAAAATTTTGTTCAACTGAAAATTCCCATGCACTGCAAAGCAGAATATATATGCAAACATACTATTATTCAGCAGAACATCCTGCAGCCTCCATGTAGTCCATCAGAAAAGTTAATGTATTACGCATCCAAATATCCTACCTTTTTCACAATACAATAATTCAAAGTTAAAGGTGGTTATCTGATGACTAGGATATTTTTCCTAAGAAGGGTCAGAGAGCACAGCCTGGGATCCACCATTCTTATGCCTTACTCAAATTCTCTACATAGAGGCCATGTTTTTTAAATTAAAATAGTTCTGGCTGTTTTTTGGTTCTGTTGACATCCATGTTGTTAGAAGGAAATGTTTAGTACATAAAAGCTATACTTTGTCTCAAAATTCTCATCCAGCAAAGTATATGTTGGTGTTCAAGTGCTCAAAACACAGTAAAACAAAAAACACCACTACCTAAAAAAACTTGAAAGTTAAGATGGAGAAATTTAGGTACCTTTTCTGGTTAAGACACTGCTAAGAAGAATGAAAAAGTTAAAGGTTCATTTAGACTAGGCCCCAAGACACCTACCTTGCACTTCACTCTGGTTCCAGAAATTATTTTTACATTTGGAAAAACAAAATTTTTGCTTGAATGCAAGAGTGTTCTAATGACACAAGAAAAGTACATACTCTAAACTGTTAACTTTCCCCTTAAATCATCAAAATGTTGGTGACCCCAGAAGACCTTTTAAAAAGGAAAAGCAGAGTGACACCAAGATGAGAGGTACAGTTGACATTGGTGGAAGGAAAGGATGCCATTCAGAGGAACCTCAACAGGTTTGAAAGGTGGGCCCGGGTGAACCTGATGAGGTTCATTCAACACAGCAAAGCGCAAAGTGCACTTGGGCCAGAGGAATCCCAGGCATCCATACAGACTGGAAGGAACAGTCCATGAGAGCAGCCCTGAGGAGAAGGATCTGGAGGTCTCGATAGATGAAACACTTAACATGAGCCAGCAGTGTGCTCTTGCAGCTCGGAAAGCAAATGGTATCCACGGCTCCATCAAAAGACGGGTGGCCAGCAGGGACAAGGAGGTGACTGTCCCCCTCTACTCTGCTCTTGTGAGGCCCCATCTGAAGTACTGCGTCCAAGTGTGGAGCCCCCAGTACAAAAGAGACAGGGAGCTGCTGGAGAGGGTCCAGAAGAGGGCCACAGAGATGATCAAAGGGCTGGAGTACCTCCCCTACAAAGACAGGCTGAGGGAGCTGGGCTTGTTCAGCCTGGAGAAAAGAAGGCTGCAGGGTGACCTCATTGCAGCCTTTCAGTACCTGAAGGGAGCCTACAAACAGGAGGGGAATCAACTCTTTGAAAGGGTAGATAACTGCAGAACAAAGGGAAATGGCTTTAAGTTGAAGGAGGAAAGATTTAGGTTGGATGTCAGGGGGAAGCTCTTTACTATGAGAGTGGTGACGTGCTGGAACAGGCTGCCCAGAGAGGTTGTGGATGCCCCGTCCCTGGAGGTGTTCAAGGCCAAGTTGGATGGGGTCTTGAGCAGCCTGGTCTAGTATTAAATGGGGAGGCTGGTAGCCCTGCATGTGGCAGGGGGGTTGGAGATTCATGATCCTTGAGGTCCCTTCCAACCCCGGCCATTCTGCGACTCTGTGAGTACAAAATAACAAAGGGTTGGCCTCAGTGTCCGCATTTATCTCACTGCATGTCCATTTACTGCAGCTGTGCAATTAGACAAGTTTATAGCAAGAAAAAGAACCGACTGGCCTCTCCTCAATAAGAGTCACACTTTCAGCACTGAGTAGATATTTCTGAAAATAAATAATAAAGACAGTCTGAATTCCAGAAGTTCACAATCTAGCAGGAGGCATGGTAGTGAATTTGTTGCATTAAATCAATACACAGGAACTGTTTTCACCTACTTAAAAAAAAAAAGAAAGAAAAAATGCTAACATTAAAATAATATTAAATTTCTACTGAACTATTTGTGATTGGAAGTGATGATCAAAAATGAACGCCACTATAGCTGATTAACAATCTCAAGTTTCCATATGGACAATCTGTGCATTACATGACAAATTAGTGCATTTTAATGTTATTAAAGCTTAAAAAAGCAAAGAAAAATTGAGTGAACTGATTATAGAGATTGTACATATGAACTAAACTGATCAAAGCAGTCATCAACAATTAAAGATATGAATCAACATCTCCAGTCAGTAGCTTGATTGGTTTACCTATATCCTTCATATACTGGTAGAAATAAAACAGAACCAGCCTATGCAACAGCAATTTATGAAATATTCAACAGCAAGATCTTCTCTAAATAGAAAGGAAGCAGAGATTAACAGACTGAAGACATTAAGTAGCCATACTCTACTACATTCATTTTTCAGAAATAAAATACACAAGCTCTACACAAGGACAGTTCTTGTGGAGTACGGTAAGAGCTCTTACTGAGGAGTTTACAGTTCTTCAGAATGCAGTAACTTGAGAGATATAACCTAAGAGATTTTACTTAGTGCTGAGAATGGCTAACTAAAAAATTCTTTATAAAAAGTGTCATCTTTCTTTCAGTTGGGTAAAGTCTCAACTTATTCAGCAGTTAAACTAGGGAAAGTGACAGCAAAAACTGAAATGGAAGAACTGTTTTCAAAGTTAAGAAGGAAAAGTGAAATAGTACTACATACTGTTACTGTAAAACAATGAATGCATTTCTATACTACTTTCCATACCATGAGTTACAAATCTATGGTAAACAAACTGCAAAGACTTCAACAAAACGAAATCTACTGAATTAATCACAAGTGGTAAAAACTTAACTGAATACACCTCACAAGCCCTACAGGCCATACTCCGTGAGCTTACTGTATTTCCCCCAGCATTCACTTCACTATCAGATCTCTTTTTCATTATGATTTCCTGTGCTCTGCCAGACTGGAGTCAAATCCTGATCAAAAACCAATGTTATAAACTGGACACACAACATTTTATTATTTCAGTAGCCAGCTAATGAATTACAATTATTCCCTAGTATACATTACTACATAAATAGCTTAGTGTTTTAAACTTGCACAGTTATAATGACTGAAAATTAACTGAAAAAAATCAAAGGGATGAAAGAGACTCCTGGGTTATCAGTTCTTCTACTAGTTCTGGTCACATTTTTATATATTGGAAAGGTGGAGAATGAGATGATGAATATAGGAAAAAAAAAGTGTTCCATCACTTCAATTGACGTATATTTTATGGATTTATTTACAATAAAAGATAAAGACTCAAAAGAGCAAATTCTGTAAACAATTAAGGAAGAAAGGAAAAAGTAACAGAATGAAGTTAAAGCTTTCACATTTTCAGAAAGGAACAGAATAAAAAGGAGAGAACAATAAAGAAAAGCAACTCAGCTGTAAGTTACATTCTTAGAGAAATCTTTTATCATAGAGAAAGTTTAAAAAAAATCCATATACTTCATTGCTATGTAAAACCAGCGGTGGGTGATAGAGAATATAGTAAGCATGTGGAATTAAACAGTTGTGGAACAGCAATTCTAACAGGCTGACAACTATTTGAATCTGCCTGTAATCATCAGCTGCACTGATATGCAGCATCTGATAGCTCTCATTTGTTTTTGCATTATGTTAAGAAATGAAAGACCTATGACACAAACAGTTACTATCAGCTAGGCAACTACTTAAAAAAAAAGCCTGAAAAACAGTATTTTATACCCTATACCATTTGACTGACAGTCCTGGTACTCATTAAGACTCTACACAAATATCAGAGGGAGCTCCTTTCTCACAATTATGTTTCTGGTACAGTGATATATCAAGTATTAAAATGAAGTATTTACTTCAAAAGAAACAATACTTAAAAACAAACGTGATCCTCCTAAAAGACACATTACTTCCAAGTTTCAATTTGTCAGATACAGATCACTGAATTGTTTTGGACACTTTTTCGTAATGAAATAAATAGTAAGGTAGAATTTTAATATATAGATCCTGATTGGTAACAAAGTTGCTCACTACAGAAGAATTAATGTTACCAATATGACAGCAAATGCAAGTGTTACCTGAATACAGCCTGATAGTGCTAAAGTTACTAAAGCCACCAATTTCCCTTTTCTTCATACGTATTTCTGATTCTCTTAATTGGCTTTTTTTTTTTCCTCCTCCAAAAGAAAATAAGTAAAACATTTCTGAACCTCACTTCTTGATCATACCCATTTGTCTTCAGGGCATCACATACAAAAACGCTTAATTTGCACCAGGTGATGGTGCTCATTAATGGAATGACAAAATTGGAGTGCAACACATTCTGCATGCGGTGTCTTAAGTCAACTCGCACTCAAGCTGAAAAGACTGCTATAGCAAATTTGGACCTTTACAATAAACTAGTTTCTATGAGGCTGCTCTGTACTGTGCAATCACACGTTTAAAGAAAAGATGGTATTTGTCACTACTTTACTTGTAGACTCAAAAAAAAATTATGGGAATGCTCACTTGTAGCTTTCTCTTCTGTGAATTCAAAGATTTAGTTTCATGTTTCAATGACAGACATCTCCAAGTTCTTGAAACAGAGACTTCACAGAAGAAAATCATTTCCTATCTTTCAGATTTGATAATATTTGCAAGTCTATATTTAGGATTTATTGAGTGGGACACAAAAAACTCAACTTCAGTATGTAAAGAAGCTTAATGATGTTACTGGCTTTACCTACATTACATATGTATAATACATTATATATATTTGCAAATTATATATTTTCCTAATGTATTCATCCCTTTCCAAATTTCTATAGCAACTGTGAGTTGTTTGCTACTTAACTGAATTTTTCATTCCTCCTCTTTCAGGCCTTCCACTTTACTTATTTCTGTAATTTCTGTTCATTTTCCTTTTACGACTGCATCTGTATTGTCCGTATGACGATCTGACCTCAAAAGTACCAGCTAAGATACATGCAGGTATGTAACCTAATAAGAACAGCATTCAGTCACATAAATACATACTGTTTTAAAGAGTGGAAATAAAAACATTAAATGAAATTTTAACAAACTATATACACAGAAATTTTGCAATATTAAATTGATAGAGATAAGAGATCTACAGAGATGAACAATGAAGTCTGAATATAAAATGAGAATCCAGAGAATACTGAATAAATGTAATGGAGACATGCCTTGAAGAAAACCTACACATATAATGGGTAGCAGATATTTGTAAGCATTAATAGTGAAGAAAAAAAAAAAACAAAACAATCACAGGACAGGAGACAGAATTTCTCATGAACTTATTACCAAGTACAGTAGATTTCTTGTCTTTAAAGAAATCAACATCCTGATATAAAGCATTATATGTCCCTCCATCCTTCTCCTCTGATGAAACAGAAAGAGAGAAATAGATTTTAGAAAATTCAAATGACAAAACAAATTTTAAGGGGCAAAATGTGAAGATAAAAATACCAAAAGACTCTCAGTGTTCTCAACTACATTGGAAACTAATTATCAGAATTTTTCAACAATAAAGAATGGAATTGCTTATCAAAGCGTTAGAAAGAAAAGTATTCATGTTAAAATGAGCAAGGCACTGAAGTTGCTATCATGAAAGAAATTTAAGATTAGCTAAATTGAGATTTTAGCATAAAGTAGCCTTAACAACAACGTACACTTAAATACACTGTGACCAATCTTTTCTAAAGAAGACCCTAAAAAAATATTACCTTCTATTTACCTTTTTTTCGACGTTGAAATTTCAGTTCCAATCTATAAACAGAGTTGTAGAACTCAGAGTAAAATGTACATGATTTTAAAAAAATCAACTGATTTAGCTATCATTTAGAAATTCTACATTTTTTTTCTTACTGACTAGTTAATGAAATTTTCACAAAACCAGATTTTGAAAAGGAACTGAGACTGATTTTAACTATCTTTCCCTTTTGATACAATTTAAAATTACTCTTACATGTATGTATCTAAGTATAATAAGATTACAGTGGATATACCTCACACATCAGGTGTCCAAATTCAAACACAAGATGTCCCTTCCACTCCTTTAAGACACTTACAACAGGCCCAACACTGATGCTGCTTTATCCTTGCCTAATTTCAGTTCAAAAACGTAAATTAAATGCAACAAGAATCTACTGTCTTATTCCAGTCTGCTTAAAATTCTCTTAAAATTGTGAAGGGAACTGTGCAACTTGCACAATCAACTTCTACTCCACTCTATCAACAGACAGACAGGAATTCCTGAGACCACTAGAAACCACGTTCTCATAATTTCAATTGTTCTTGCTAGTGGAAGATGGCTTTGTAGTCCCACAAACATGTAAAAAAAAATAGTTGGTAAATGCAGTTGGTAAAATATGAACCAAATGTGTTAGCGTGTTTGTTCAGGAAGCAGCTGGAACATGTCATATACCTACAAAGCAAAGGACTTGCTAATATACAAAGGATGTTTCAAAGAACAGAAAGGAAATCAAACCTCTGTAATTCTCTCTCCAATACTGCAGCTCTCCTTGTCTTTTCTTAGGCCACAGAAAAGAGTAGTTTAACAAGAATCAAATAATACAATGAATTCTTATGCCTATTAAATGGCTTACAATTATGCCAAATCAGTCTTCATTTTACAGTACTTACTCAGCTGACACAACGTCAAATTTACATTCCACAAAGACAGTGAAGTGCTAAGTATTATACCTTTGCACTTTTAGATGAGAGCAAGTGAGAAGAAGCACATTAAAACTGTACAGGATGATACTCCATATGTGATTGTAGTACTACAATGAATGTTTTTGTTTTTTTTTTTTATCTATGGGACAAAAATCCAATTTGTACTTATTCTTTAAAGACTATGATTTTAAAACGTATAGCATAGCTTCTACAAAATATATTTGCACAAAACTAACAGCACAGGTCTTTCCTGTAGGCTTTTTCTAGGACTATAAAATATGCAGAATCCTACCAGGCCATATTGCCATGGGCTGTGTTGTCAAGGTGACAGAGTAGCTCCAGGGTTTGAGTGTTGCTTGATGAATCATCAGGGGATTCATGACTGCCTGATTCCAATTCCTTCGGCATCCTCCAAACAGCAGCACATGTCACGACTTTAGTGTCTGAAGCTAAGCAATAGAGAATAATGTCAACAGATCATCGTATGGGAGACATTTTGTATACAGTGCATTGACATTTACACAAATCTATAAGCAATGCACACCTGCTGTTTAAAAAATTTAAAAAGATTCTAAGTTGAATGGAAAGTACACAAAATATGGGTACAGTCAGAACTCAAGCTAGTAGTCAAGTTACTGCAAAACTCATAACTAGCATGCATGCAATCCAGCTTTCCCTGTTTGAAAGGTAGAAGTCAGTGCTCATGAAATCATAAGTGTTTTTAAAGGCAATTTTTCCAAGTTTCAATCCCCAAAATGATGTTAATGAAAAAGACCCACAATTTATGTTACTTGAACCCTTAACAATAACAATTGAGACAGTTTTACTATTTTCCTTTCAAGAGCAATCTTCAGTTTAACCTACTGCATTATGCCATACCCTTTGCTACACATAAGCTTATTACAAAACTTCAGTATTCCACCCAAGTATGCTCCTCTAACTCTAGTGAACAAAAGCAACTTCCAGAAGTTAAACAGAACTCAGATGTGCATAGCAAAATATCACAACATATGAGAAAGAAGCTAACTGTAATCAAGGGGAACTGTAATCAAGGGGAACAAATACCATATGGTTTCTGCACATACAGCATTGCCCACTACCCAAAAATAATCAGAATTTGCATCATTGCAGAATGTGATGAGACCACAGCAGCACTGAATGTGTCCACATTGCAATAGCTTCTGGTCCAGGGTTCAAAGCAGAAGAATGTGTCTGCTGCAGCAGGAACAAAGAAACCAGCTACAGTGATACTGGGGAGTGAAAGCTTTGGGTGCCACTACCTACTGGAAGATGTGTTCAATACGAAGTCCCGAGGATGAGAAGTAATCAGGTAATATCACACGCCTCTCTCCTAATTTTCTATCTTAAAGTACTGATTTTAGTCTACAGTACCTGATTAAAGACCCATGAACAGATGTGACCAACTTAGAGGTATGTTCCTATTTTGGAACAACTGTAACGAGAGTGTTTTCAAGATGAAGGATTGTAAATCAGAGAAAGGCTTTCTCAGACTCATTCCAACAGAAATGTCTCCACTACCAAGGTGACCAATTTGGATATTATACACACAAAAGAGCCACTCTTACAACAAACAACAGAATGACAGACATTGTTTTTCAATGTCCATTTCTGATAGAAAAAAAACAAGAGTAAGAGAAGAACTTAAAGGCACAGAATTCAGAATGCACGAGCACTGGGTACTTGACAAAAAGCACTAAATATGAAATACAATTGTGTAACTGTTTGACTGTAATTGGAAGTTGTACACAAATTGAATATAGTATAAAGAGGCCTTACCATTATCTAAAGATAAATAAGGGAAAATCCCTTATTTATTAGCACATAATTGAGCTTTTAATAATTACAGTGCATGCTAAACAGCTATTTCCAAACCATTTGAGGAAAATCCTTCACTTTAAATCAATGTGCCACTGAAAGATGAGGAAGCAACAGCAGATGGCTACCTTTCCTAGCAAAGGGCAAGTCAATGCACAGCATGCCTTCTACTCTATACAAATAATAAATAACCAGAACAGAATGCACAAAGTAGTTTGAGAAATTAAGATTTATTGAATGCTTTGCCTAGATAAGTCAATATATGACAGAATGTTAAGAACAAAGCGAAGAAGTTTCTGGTGGATTAGAATTACCGAAAGGTCTGTATCATGGATATAAAGCTTCAGCTTTTCTGCTATCACCGTGACCTACACAAAGAACCACAACACCAATCGTGAAAAGTTAACAGAACATTTCAGAAGCCATCTTTCCTCTCAGATAGCACAAGAAGTTTAAGGAAGCCTTGAAATGTCATTTTAATTTTCCAGAACATAAATATTTTGGCAATGTGGTGGTGCATTCTTATGAGAAATGATTACAACAGTATTAATAATAATAATAATAAAGGTGTAGAGTGTCATGCACAACCAGATTTCCGTGTTAGAAACCTAAAAACAAGTAAACAAGCAGCATTTTGAGGACTGGTTGAAGCCGAAGAAAATATAGTGAAGTCTCCCCGAATTCTGATATAATTTGGGCTCTTTTAGCACTGATGCTTTGAAAATTTGTTAAAATCCACCAGTGAAACAGATCTGCTTGAATTTTTTTTTTTTTTTATGTATGCAGTAATTATATAAAATTTCATATATATATTTTTTTCAAATTGCACACACCTACAAGATGCTTTTAAGAAGCAAGTGGAAGTGCACTTTGATATTTTAGGCAGAAGACATTTCCTTGAGCAGTAGAAAAAAATCATCAGGTTTCCATATCTTGCAGAACTTACCATTCCTTGGTTTCCAGGAAATACTGTGCTTTCTGGAAAGCTGCTCTGATGCTATCATGTACATCAGATGCCATTTGCTTTTCCAAATTGAAGAGAATACTCTACTTCTGAAATACAATTTAACCATGCTAGATTTATTAATGGTCACAGCTTTGTAGGACTTATGGAAATTTTCTTTCATAAGGAATTTTTTATGATAAAAACTGAATTAAGAACTACGTTAGCATACATCGTTTAAATACAGTTTTACCTATTAGACTTCCTCCAGATCTCAACAGCATAGCAGTCATTTATTCTTCACAATTGTTATCTTTTTCTGTCCATATTTAGAGAAGTAGAAATAAAAAAAGCATTTTTTAATTACACCACTAAACTTTCTTGATAGTAATCATCAATTATTTTCTCTAAGGACAGAAAAAATTAACATAGAAACCCCAAATTTTCCCCTACATTATGTCACATGTATATGCACATATACATTGGTAAAAACTTGGTTCTTACCTATAACTTCTCATATTGTTTCCCTAAAACTAGTAAGAGACCCATACAAATGACTGGAATATTTAAATTACCGTGCCAGTTACCTGCCAAAAAATAAAAAGATATTTTGTCTTTCAATTAAGTCATACGTGTGTATCTCAAAGCTATTTATACAGTTGGAAACTACTTTTCCAATGTTACCTCATGCTTAAACCAGAATTTTTATTACACAGCACCAATGCAGAAAAGAATTGACAAGATAGTGTATTAAGCAAGTTGTTAGTGGGTTTAACTAAGCATTAAATAACCTTTAAGTTATACCTTCATAAAGCATAAGTTAAAGTTTTGCAGAAGAGAGTCCTGTAGTACTCCTAAAAAACTGTTCAAAACAGTGATCCAAGATTAAGACAACAAATTCTTAGACTGCTGTCACTTTCATTCCTTACCATTCAAGAAAAGTCCCTTGCCTAATTCACTGTGCACCTTTAGTATACCTCTCATTAGTTATGGCTGGAGTTAAACACACTTTTCCAACAGCAACAACTGTTGGAAAGCATTGCTTCCTCACACTCATTAACGACCTCCTGGGCTGAGGCCGCCACACTCTCAGATCTGCAAGAGTGACTATACACAGTTCCTTCTACCTAGTTCTGTTGAAATGATCCAAGCTTAAAAAGAAAGCAGGCAAGAAGTCAGGAATAAGCAAACAGTCCCATACTTTGACAGAACTGAGATAGAAAGAAACTGCACACATAGTTGATCTGGCAGCTCTGAGGGTGCAGGAACAAAATGCAAGAAATAAAACTTCAGCAAGTTTGTCCAAAGCCATAGAGAGTCACAGAGCTCACAGCCTTCTTCAGATGCCTACTTTGCAAGTTAAGCAAGTGAGAAAACCCTCTGCATACAGAGTGTGCAATTTGAAAAGGTCACAACTTGGTCAAATCAATACCAATTTTCACTACAGCACTTGAAAGAGCTTCGCGATGAGGGCTACTTCCATGACAATTTTCAGATTTCCACTACTAGCAGTTTCAACACTGAAAAAGAGATGTTGTAGACAGGTAAAACATCCTGCTTATCTACCTATCTCCAAACAGTGCTCTCCTTAAAGAGTTGTTCCTGCTTAATCACCTTAGAGAGAAAATAAGCCCCTCAAAAAAAAAAAATCTGACAGGTAAAGTTATCAGGAAGCTACCAATGGCAGTACAAAAAGAAGCACACATTTAATCTCAACTACAAGTACTTGTTACTCCCTTATAGAATTGTGTCATATACAGCAGATCGATTCATTAAATCATGGCTAGCTGGAATGCAGTAACCATCTGACATTCCTCAACAACTATGCAATCATTTCAAGACTAGAAGATAAAAGAAAAAAGCAAATGTAAGAACACAGACTGCTGATTCCAGATGTGATGCATTTGCTTATGACACTAAAAGTCAGTCCCATCCTTGCAAAAATTTCAACTTTTGCACATATTCAGATTTTTAAGCCAGAAGGAATTGTCTAAGCTCTTTAAACAACCCTTGACTTTGATTCAGCAATTTCTAGAGACTGCCATAATCAAAGAAGTGAGCCATATCAGGTCTCCAGATTCAAAAGTCATTCCGAATTTTTTTTACAAATATTTATTCAGGAAATTCCATAGCCTGGGAAACCACAAAAATTCAACCGAAAATCAGGTGCAGTCACAGAAGTCCATTTACACAGACTTCTCCAAAAATATAATTTATTCTATTTAATAAATAGCCACTTTAGAAAAGACAATCTGCAACCCCAGTAAAAACGCTAAGAAATCAATTGATATCCAGATTACTGACACAATAAATAAGAATAAATGCAGAAAGAAGAGATGAAGTCTCTGTAATCACCATAGACGGCAATCAGTCTCAATTAGACCTCTATTTGTTTTTGTATTACTGAGTACAAAAAGCCATACTTTTACACAGAATCATTGAGAATTGGAAGGGACCTTTAAAGGCCATCTAATCAAACTCCCCTGCAATTAAGAGGGACACCTAAAGCTAGATCAGATTAGTCAGAGCCCTTTCCAGCTGGACTCTGAATGTCTCCACAGACAGAGAGCATCCACCACAACTCTAGGGAGCTTGCATCAGTGCTTATTGTAAGAAGAAATTTCCTAGTATCTAATCTAAATCTCCCATTTCCTCATCTTACCAAAACAG